AAACTTTCAGGTCACTGTGGAACCTCCGTCAAGATGATGTCTCCGGGGTTATTTTCGGTACCTTCCTGGGCCACACCCATTCTACTGCATCCCTCACACACTGATGGGCCAGGTACTCTGCTCTGAGCTTTTGAGGATGGAGACAGGACAAGGCCTCTGAATCAGACTGCTAGCTAGGAAGGTGACCCCAGTGCCTGTCCCTTTATAAAGTAAGCTGTGTCCATTGCTCCTCCACCAGGAGAGATGCCCTGAGCCAGGAAATGGCCATCTCCATTGTCCCAATCTCTGCTGATTATGAGTCTTGAGTTTTCTCATGCTAAATTGAGACTATCTTTTCTTACTTTGAGTGACTATAGGCTCAGGAAACAAACCATGACTACTGGCCGACTAGGCAAGATATTGACAGCAATGAAAATCTGTTACAGGATATGCTGTTCCTAATCTTGACTTTGTTAGCACTCCAGATCTTAAAGAGGCATCTAGCACAAACGCTGGCCAGAGAAGACAATCAAATATTTATGGATTTTCCCCATCCAAATGGGATATTTATATCCCTCCCAGCAGTTGCCTCTCCTTGAATCTGAGAGATTATTCGTTTCACTACACATGGTCCCTAAGAACAGCAGATGCTGCATCCGGAAAGTGAACCTGAATCTAGAGGGTGGGCTCACACTGCTTCCATCCTGTACCACAAATGGACACCACAGAGCGGGCTGACCTCTCCCTGAAGTCACAAGCATCCACATTCCTTTCATAGAGGCTCTGAGGAAGGCCCCCAAAAGAAGCCTCAAAGTTGAGTACCTAGCACAGCATAACCTCCTGGGTTTTATTGGCCCTAAGTCAAATACTAAAGACAAAACCTGTATTCGCAAAACTCTCCTTTGACATTAATCGACAGATAACGGAGACGGGCAAGGCTAGACCTTCGGAGTGTGTAACTGCTGTTCTAGGGAGGTATCATCCGCAATCCACACTCTGGTAATAGCTTCTACTGATTGCAACACACTTAACAATCCTGTATTTTCTAGATCTACACACAGGATATTTTTCTATGCTCCTAACCAACAGTTCACCTAAAAAGAAAACAAACAAAACCAGCAAAAGCTGGATGCTCTAGGAGAGTATTTGGGGCTTATTACTTTCCTTTTCTTTACAGTTCATTTCCTGGGGCCAAGTAATTTTTTCTTAAAATATTCAGACACACGAGCTCCTGGCTGTGTTCTGGAATACCCATTCTGAGAAAGTCCTCTCTGCATGCTCATTCTCAGAGCCCAGAACATGCAAACAAAGATGCGATGGGCAGAAGGCCAGTTAATAAATCTCATTTCCGACCGGCATCTGCGCAGAACAGAGCTGTAGGGAGTAGCCTCTCCAGGGAGGTCCAGGCCACGACTCATTCGCTCTTTGAATTAAAGAGTGTCACCTCAGATGGCCCTCACCACATTTATTTTTTAAGCAGCTCTTAAAATATATGGATTCCTAACTGCAGTGGGGAAGCAGGGCTGAGGCTCTCTCTCTCTCTCTCTCTCTCTCTCTCTCTCTCTCTCTCTCTCTCTCTCTCTCTCTCTCTCTCTCTCACAATGGGTGTGGAAACGTGTGCAAGCGCTTTCCCTGGGCCATTTTGATACTTGATTGCTTCAAGTGCAATTTCCAACACAGAGGTGATTTTTTGTTTTAAGAGAAGCTTGCTGTTCTAATTAAAGTGCACGGGGCTTTCGATAATGATTTGTTACCCATTTGACTTCAGTAAAAGTGAACCCTGCTGTAAAAGTGGGCCGTGTTAATATGCACTGATGTCTGGCTTAGGATGTCTAGGCCAGGACCGCATCTCAATTTTAGTGTGAACAGCCCAGGGAATGGCTCAGCAGGAGAAGGTGCTAGCCTCCAAGCCCAGTGACCTGGGTTTGATTCCCAGAAGCCACATGGTGGAAGGAGAGAACACATCCAAGCAAGTTCCGCCTGTGGCATGTGCACCCTACCCACCCTAAATAAATACTAGCTTTAACTAAAAGGAAACAGAGTGACAGCTTGCACATTAGTGGTCCTTTCTTATACCTGCCTTCTCTTGCCTGCAATGCCAGCAAGGTAAGGAATACTCCAGTCTTAGCTCCTGAAAGTGTCCCTCCTAGGTTACAAAGCATTCTTCCTGTTCACATGCCTGCGTGCCTGCATGTATGTTTCTGCTGGGGATGGAACCCAGTGCCTTAGGTGTTAACCCCATATCTTCTTAAGAGTAGAATTACAAGGACTAAGGAGATAGCTCAGAAGAGTGCTGGCTGCTCTCACAGAGGACCTGGGTTCATTTCCCCAAACCTACATGGCAGCTCATAACTGTTTATAACACCATTTCCAAGGAATATGACACCTTCATCTACCCTTGGAGGATACTATAGGTACACAGAGAGATATGCAGGCAAAATAGACATAAAATGAAAAGACAAAAAGACTAGAACTATATATTCTTCACTGTAAGAAGCACTGTTGGGAAATAGAGCCTGAGATAAAGGCTGTTGGAGTCTACCTAGGAATCAGTGAAACAGTCAGGAACAGAACCGTTTCTGGTGTTGCTGAGGCCCTTAGCACCTTCCAGCTCCCCCAGGGACTGCACAGAAAACTTCAAGGCATATCTCACAGTTGAAAGCTACCTCTAGCCTACAGCCAAGGTCAAACTTCCACCTGGTTAAATCTCTATTGTGGCTTTCAAATTGCTTTCCAAGTTTCCTCAGAAATCAGATGGCTACATTATTCCAGTCTTAGGATGCCAAAAATAAGGATGGAATGCTTCCTGGACAGAAAAAATGTGTCACATTTCTTCCCGTCTCTTAGCTCTCTCCAAAAAAAAAAAAAAAATATGCAGTAGTTATACTGTATTGCTCAATCACTTTGAAAGAAAGCTGACCAAGGGGACCATCCAGTCTGTCTGTTTTCAAGTGTGTCTTACACACCAGACAGCATAAATGGAACCATGAAGGCAGCTTTCTTCACTGAACCAATGGCCTCTCTCGCTACAGCACCCGGCAATCCTATTCTATAAAATGCAAACACAATGATACTTCCAGTAAAGTCACTTGTTTAGTCAAATCTCTACCCAAATTCAGGTTTTTCTTTTTTTTTTAATTTCATATCATTTAAGGCTCCACCAGAAGACATCAAAAAAAGCAAAGCAGAAATCATTTAATAACTAGAAGGAAAACTTGAGTGAAAAACATAAATACAATTTCATTTTAAAGCAGTACTTCCCCATGCACAAAAGGGGCCCATTTGACCTTTCTGTCAAACGGTTTTTCATTACCACTTTGAGTTGGTTCACATGAGTAATAAAACCCAACCAGGCAACTTCCTCTGGCCCACGTGGTAAAATGTGTACTCCATCCTAGGAGCAGCAGCTATTGACATAGCAGGGATTAAATCACTTAGGAAATCAGGGCTTCAAATTTACTGCCTACAAGAACAGTTCAAATCAGCGAGCTTTCAAAGCGACTTGATTTTGTTCATTTTTAAATTCTCATTTTAGCCTCACCTAGAGGAGAAAGCTGAAAAAGAGATGGACTTTCAAACAGCAGATCTCCAAAAGGCAAGTGTCAGAGGAGTTGGTGAATCAACTGTGGCTTGCATTAGGAGAGTCATAATCGCTTGAAATCCATAAGGATGCTGTGCCAATTCTATTCATTGGAACCATAAGAAGCAAGACTTGGTGACCTCATGGGTACGACCAAAATTAACTTCAAGTATTTATGTAACTGCCAGAGATGTAGCAGGGCAAAGGGTTGCTTTCAAGTTCCCTTGCTTTTGAGTCAACAAATGGTGTCTCGGCTCAGAAAGGAAGGAAGTGGGGTGCTTTGGAGTCTACCCTGTGCACATAGAATCTGAATACAGAATATTCTACCCACAATACCATTTGAGATTCAGAGGACAGCTTATTTCAAAAAAGAGTTATTTCCTGTTGCTCAGTGTCTGGGAGGGTGCCTGTTACAGGTATGCGTGCTCTACTTTAAAGCAAAAGCATCGTTGGTGGCTATGAAGGTTATGTTTAAAAATAACCACCTCAGTACAAAAGGACTTCGGAGGAAATTCAGCCTAAGCTACCCATCTCCCTGTAAGTCTGGCCATGAGCTGCCTAAGATCCAAGCTACATTCTGCATCACACTGTTATCCTTATCAAACAATGCAAACAATTTTAATGAGCTTATCTATGAGACCATATTGCCAGATATGTTAATGCAAAAATGATGCCAACAACACAGGCAACCCATTAATCAAAAGGCTCACAATACAATGACCAATAGCATTCCCATCCTCAAACTAGACCTCGGCAAAATACAAGGAATAACCTTTCTATTATAAATAAGAAGAAGGGCTCCTCCACCCATGCAGAGGTCATAAAACTCTTCAGAAAACGCTTAGCGGCGCCGGGTTTTGGTGGGTTTTTTTGTTGTTGTTGTTGTTGGTTTTTGTTTTTTGTTTTTAACCCCTAGGTCTGAAACAGTCTAGCCTCTTTCTAATGAGCCTAGGCTTTCATGGAGAGATTTTGGTGAATGTCTGACACTGTGACCTCTGCTGTCAATCCTTGCACCAATCAGCGTGCAGAATTCTTACAAAGCTCCATCAATCTGGCGGTTTAGCATCACACACTGCAGCTTCATCTAGAGGATTCCATCTTTTCCTGCATGCTCTCCAGGTTAAGCGCAAGCGCGCTCCTCACCATCCTCCCTTTCTTGCCATTCTCCCGTTTGTTTGCTCCTTTAGTGCCCGCCACCTAATGGTTCCTTTAAATGCTGAAAGGGAAGGAGGAGAGGAAGTGCAGGGCTCATGTCCCTTCGGGGATGCGGAAAGATGGCACGCAGGGAAGAGATGGAGAGAAACCTCTTGCAGGCAACAAATCTATTCACCCGCGGAAGCCTCTATGCTCACCCCACCGACACAGGACCCTGTAACCAAGCAAATCCTGGCCTCCGCGTTACGTAACGGGTCGGACCGTCTGCAGCCACCCGCGCCAGTACCTGTAGGACCGCTCCCCGCGCACTGTGTGCTTCCGGAAAGGAATGATGGTCCCGTTATCCTGGATGATGTCGTTGTTGTTCTCGCCATTTGGGGACAAGGTTTGGGTCGGCCCGGGCATTGGCGCTCTCCCGACAGAGGGAACACACGCGGAGGCTGGCTGGGGCGGAGGGCTGTGTCTCCCCGCTGCTCGCTGCTCACTCTGCAGCCGCGCTCTGCCTCTGTTCCCGAGCCCGGTCCCGCCTTCCCAAAGCCACGCCCTCAAAGGCCACGCCCTCCCACGTCAGGGCGCCTGCAGCAGCGGCAGCGGCTGGCTGGTCACGTGCCCACTGTCGCCATAGCAACCCGCTAACTTGTCGTCTTGCCTAGGTTCACGCTGAGCGGCGCAGCGTGAGCGCCCCGGGCTGCAGGCTGCAGAGCCAGGGGCTGGCCAGCATCTGGCATGGACCCGCCCCGAGCCCGACCGAGAACAGGCTCTTCCTCTAGGAGCTTCCTCTCGGACCAAGCTGCCCTTGCAGCTGTGCACACAAAAGGATTCATGCCCAGGCCTGGGGAGGCTCCAAGGCCCAGGACAGGAAACGTGGTCAGGTTGCAGGACAAACCCACAAAGACCTGGAGGCTAGCTTCTAGAAAAGGTGCGGGACTGAAAGGGTTAAGCTTTCCCCACGTCCCCTATTCTCCCAAAGCAGCCTCCCCGTGCTTAAAAGAAGCAGAAAAATAAAACCCGTGAGGAAGCTACATTTTCTTAGACCATACGGTGAGGACGACCGTTGCAAATTAAATGACCGTGCAAAACAATTCCCCAAGAGGGATTTTTAGAAAAATTATTTATGTAACCACCAGTTTACAGTATCACCATTAGAGAAGCCTTTTTTTTGTTTGTTTATAAAAGCAGGCTCCTGTGTTAGGTCGAGGCTGGTCTTGAACTTATGATCACCTTGTTCAAATTCCCAAGTTTTAGGGTTATATATACCACAATGCTCAGCTGTGTTCTAATTCCTTACCCTGCCCTCTGATTCATATCACTGATTCTTTTACTAATGTGTGGATTAAACAAGTGGCCACCTCATTTAACGTTTAGAAGCTCAACGCTCAGGCTGCTTCAGCAGTGCAAAGGTTGTTTGCAAATAATTTGCCTGTAAATCAGGAGCCATTATCTCCAGTTTAAAAATGAGTAAGCTAGAAAAACATCACACTGGAAGCCGTGAAGCCGGGCTTGCAAATGGCACATCTTTACCAGTGTGACTACCCACTAGTGATCTGTGATTTTACAAACCTACATAAGAAGTGAGTGTTTCAGGTACATTACCAAAATACTATGAAAAGATGGCTTGGTACAGAATTGCAAGTACCACGCAAAGTCTAAGAATGCCATAACAGCCCCACATGGGACCCGTGTTGTCTCTTCCAGCGAGAAGAGGGTCTGGATTCTCTACCCATTAGAAGGTCTCTGGAAGAAGAAGAAAATTTGGGGGTGTAAAAGGCACCACATGAATGAGGATAAAAGACAAAGTTCTCAGTTACAGCTACATGGCCTATCATCTTCCCCATTTTGTGATACAGATATTAATAACAAAAATTCTGTCATTCCTGAAAATTCAACAGCATGTGTCCCCAGTTATAAGTTATTTCTGTGTCAAGCTTCTGGGATTGGAATCAAATGTTCCACAGCACAGATGGTAATGATAATCTCAAGCAAGCCCCTCCCCATTTCCTTTCTATTTTATATTCTACTTTTGGCCAGTTATTTTAATAATTTTATTTTTCTGCTTATTCAGTTAGTTCCACAGGACCAAAACCGGTCCCTTCATCTGAATCCACCGAATGATAGTTATTTTTCTCATACAGACAGGATCCAATTCCGACACAGTACTTACTAGGGAACACCAAGAGATGTTTAAGTACAAGAGGTTTCATTCACTTCTAGTAACTAGCTAAAGGGACCTGGGTCTGTGACCGTTATAAGACAACTCGATTCACACTTCCTCTTACTGTTTCTGTTACTTGATCCACTTGTTAACGTCTCTCTTCCCTTCACAGAAGCTCTCCCTTTCCTGTAGTCAGTCCCAACTGTAAAGTTATTGTCCGCAAATCAAATACTATGCCCTCTCTTAACGGGCAGGGGGGGGATAAGAGGGAGGAATGGGAGGGTGTCTTTCATGGAGCTCACTTTGGCATGATCTCATATTTTAATGTGTTAGACATCATTGGTACTATGGTGAGGATTAATTTGGTCGAAATTTGAAGGTACGGTTGACGACTTTAAATTCCTTTCTAGCAACAGTTTGCAGAGTAAACACTCCTACCCACCCACCCTTGTCCAGTTGCTCAAGGAGGAGGGGACAAAGGCCAACAATTTAGTTGGTAGGCTGAAAAGGGAGGAACAGTGAGTCAAGCAGGAGAGGGACTCTCAAGCGCCTGTAAATCTTCCTGTATGACCGCTCTGAGCCCTGCTCGGGACCCAGAGAGCCCCTGAGAGAGGCCATTACCCTCTAGGATGCAGGGGCAACAGAGGTAATAATTTGGAAACATTAAACAGATGCCGATTCATTCCTCTCGCATAAATCAGGTTACCTGGCAGCTATTCTCCAGTGTAGCCCTGGGGGAAAGAGGAAGGCGAATTCCACTTTGGGGAGAGGATGATACAATATTGGAAAAGCAGAAAAGGTGGAAAGAGGCCCAGGAGCCCATGTTTTCCAGGCCCAGCGGAATGTAGGAGTGAAGTTAAAACAAACAAACAAAACACAAGGCAACAGGAGGTATCCCAGGCTCTCTCCTAGAAGAGACAGCCTTTTGTCTCATTTCACGTTGAAAAATCTAGGAAATGGCTATCCTTGCAAGAACGTCTCACTAACTCTTGCCATTCCCAAGGGAGGTGCAGCCTACCGGGTGAAGGTCTCCTTGCTTGGCAAGGTGCAGCCCCGCACCAGAGTGAAGAACTTTCTTTAACAAGCTGTAGCCCCATGACCTCGAGGACCCCTTTCCTAACAAGGCCTGACCCGTCACAGCTCCACCACCACGCAGTGTGATCAGTTACTTGAGGAGAAGGGAAGCTGAGGAGAAAACAAGCAGGAGGCTGAGGAGCGGTTGACGCCTCAGGGAACTGAGATTATGGTAGTGGTGATGGCAAGGGTGTTATCACCTTATCACCACAGATGCAGAGGGACAGTAACAGTTCACAGGAACTCAAACCAGAGAGACAGACAGCTGTGAGAAAGGAGACACATTGTCAGAGCCAGGTCTGTAGGTGCTGCCCAAGAGTTCAGCACAGAACACCAACAGAACGCCCGTGGATGGCGCCGGACTAGGATGCCTCGGCAGGACCGCATGTGTCCAGGAGCCCCACCCCACCCCCCTTCTGGCTTTCTCCACATCCATCCAGTCCTCGGACAGCAGCAAAGGGTAGAGGCTCTTAGAAATTCTATCCACGACATGAAGCTCAAAGGCACCTAAACTGGAAGATGCTGTAATATGGTGGTGAGCTTAAAACTTTCTGGTTCCCTAGTTCCCAGCAGGCTAAGGGAAGTCATACAGATGAAAGGAAGGAACAAAGTGTCCGTGTATACCTGACTGCAATTACATTTTTTTTATACCCAGAGAGCTACCTAAAATTGTGTGGTTCTAAGTGCCCATGGGGATTACACTCCTTTCACCAAGTGGTGTATTAAAGTTGGGGCTCTGGACTCAGGCAGCCGTGGGGGCTGGGCTTGGTTTGACCACTCAGTGGTATGTAATTTTGGCAACTTGTTTCATATCTTTAAGATCTTGCTCCCCGATCTATAAAGCGGCTGCAATTATACTGGTTTCACAGTGTTGCTGTGGGGTTAAATTGCATAACACACAGAAAGCGCCTGACGTTGAGACAGGTAAAAAACTCAGGCTCTGACCTCCAGACACTTCCAGGGCTGAGGGTGATGAGCAGGTACAACACAGTTACAGTACAAGGACTCTAAAATCAGCACCGAATTCACAGTGGGACTGGGAAGGAGGGGTCTGAGTCCTCTGGGCATCTGTCTACCATGATACCATGAGCGATGATAGTAACTTGTCTTTTTGTTCTTTGCATTTTTTGTTTGTTTTGGTTTTTGTTTTGTTTTTCAAGACAGGGTTTCTCTGTGTAGATTTGGAGTCTGTCCTGGAACACACTCTTTAGACCGGGCTGGCCTCAAACTCACAGAGATCTGCCTGCCTCTGCCTCCATAGCGCTGGGGTTAAAGGCGTGCGCCACCACCGCCAGGCAGTAACCTGTTTTGATCACTTACCAAGCAACACTTCCCTTAGGGAAGGTCCCTCCACTGCCTGGGTTACTGTGCTCCTCCGGCAGAGCCTGGCAGGGGTAGGCACTAAATGAACGTAATCGTTCATTTGTTTGATGGATGTTTTAGGGGAGGAATAATTTGTTAGTGACTGGATATCAGTTTCTTGCCCATCAGCTGAGATGCTTATCCTGGAGGCAGTGTTGTCATTAGAGAGGGGACGGAGTGGGGAGGGAGGATGGGGTGGAAAGGCTTTGGCAGAGGCAGGAAGGGGTGTGTTCCCGGCAGGACACTGCAGACTGCTCTGTGTGGAGAGAAGGTGGAGTGCAGAGAGGCAGAGGCCAACAGGAAAGGGTTGTATGGCCATGCTGAAGAGCTTGGCTTCAGTCTGGGCTGATCTGCAAGCAGGAAGTACAGAAAGGGCAACTAATGAGGAGATGTGCATATCAGCCTGTGGTGATGACAGCGGTATGATGCTATATTGAAGACTGAAAGCAGTCCCCAAACCTAAAGCAGACAAAACCAAAACAATGAAGATTTAAACCAACAGATCAAAGGACTATAGAAGCAAGCACACATTTGCAAATTCAAAGAATCTAAATGCTAGGACTTGGTAGATAACTGGAAATGGGCCAGGTGATGGGAGGGAGTTGAGGGTAGGAGGTAGTGAGGGAAGCGGAAACATCTCAGATAGGTCCCAAGCTTATGGCTTGGTGACCAAGTAGATAATAATATCATTTAGCAAGCTTAGGAATGCAGATTAAATTGTTCTTTTGGAAACCCCTACAGGACATGCTATTAGCAGTCAGTCTGTGTGTTAGTCCTTCCATATTTGTTGAATGTGTGTGGGTCTTGGTCTCATCAGCTGTGTTTGATGTGGACACACTAATTTTTGGATAATTGTCTCCAAGGTGATTGCAGAAGCTGCAGTCACTCTCACAGCAAGATAAGACTCTTTGGAATTCTTTAAAAGTGAGTGATAAAAA